AGAGTGTCATGTTTATATATAATTATAAATAAAAAGTAAAATAATTGAAGTTATAAATTAATTTTTTTAATCAAGAAATAATTTTCGTCAAATAATTTTCGGAGTTTGACAGACATATCTTCTTCTACTTTTAGTTTTTTTATATTTATAAAAATTAGAATTTGAACCTTCATCACTTTTCGTTGATATAAAGTGAGTAGTTTATAACTGAGTGGGTGATTTAAAGGTGATTATGGAAGTCAAAAATCTTTAAAAAAAATGTAGACAATAATAATAATAATAATAATAATAATAATTTATTCTAAATTGAAATTGGAATTTAGCGTGTTAGCGTCGAAAATTCACTTGTCACGACTCTAATTAATTCCTCTATTGAGAATAGGAAAGATTATTAGTCCTTTTAATTATAGATATTTTAGATTAGCTGCGTCTTGTTCTTCTCTTTCCGAAATCATGGACAATATTAGTTTTTTAATTTATAAGGCATGAACAAGTTAATAAAAACCTTGCCATTTTAACCGAAAAGGTGGATGCCATATTCGTTTTCTGGTGAGTGGTGACCAAATTATGGACATGGACATGTCTGCAATACTAAATAATTATGAGTTAGGTAAATGAACATATAAATGCCCAAGAGCAAAGAGTTTTAGGCTCTAATGAAGTAAAAAGTTTTTATATTGTAAATTTGTTAAATTAAATAATCATTACATTTAAAATTATAATTAAATATCCTTCAGACTTGTGCTAGAATAAGGTAGAGTCCGCAATTACATTATATATATACTTTGTCTTTAATCTAAATTATTTGAATAAAAAAATATAATACTTAATATAATTCTCATTAATTAACAATGTAAAATCTTTTTCACATGAAAATTAAACCTATTACTTAATATCGTCGAGGACAACACTAAAATTATTGTATTAATCAGTTTATTTTGTATACAAATAGAAAATTATGGTATGCATACACATATTTCCCCCTTTTTTTGGGTACATATTATATATTTACTAGTACTAAATTAAGTTACATTAATATTATTTGAACTAATAATATTAAATTGAATATAAATAAAATTAAAACTAATAAATAATAATAATATATACTAATAAAATTACTATTAATATTAATAAATATAAAGTAATAATATATACTATGGAACAAAATTATCCATCATATATTTACTACTAGTTAATAAATAATATAATATTATAAAATAATTAAACAATAAATTATTATTTTTAATACTATGTATCTTAATTATAATTTAATCACTCTACTTTTAATAATTTTTCTTAAAAAAAAAAGTTTCTTTTTCCTTTTTATTTTTCTTTGTATATTTTAGAGTTAGAAATAAGATATTTAATTTGTAAAATCCTCTTACATTAGTTTCACCAAAACAATTTTTTTAGCCTACGTATATAAGTTAGTTTTAGTTTACAATAAATTTATTTTATTTAAATTATTTTACTTTTTTTTTCTCTCATGAGTACTTTGTGAAAATTTTTCAAACAAGTCTAATACAATTTAGTTTATATACTTAATAAAGTTATTAGCTTAGTGGTTTTAGTTTTGTTGGTGATCAACTCAAGGGCGCAGGACTCTCGTTTAAAACAATTACTCAAGTTTAATATATAATGATTATTTTATAATAATGATTTTTAAAAACTCACTAAGTATTTTTGGATATTCAATATCATTTTAAAAAATGGCATATAACACATGTTAACAAAACTTTTAAGCAAGAATTAAAATATAAAATATTTAATAAACTAATTAT